TGCATCCAGAATTGTAGGGGCATTCTAACGCGGTTTGGCTTACATAGTTTGCTACTACTTGTGAAGAGGGGGAGGCACGCACCGTACAAGTCGTCGTGTTCATCCTTCAAACGAAACTCAATAACTTGAGCCCCTAGCTACGGATAGCCTCATCGACCTGGGAGCGATTCGATTCGGTAATTGACCCCTTGACCGCAGTTGTGGTAAGTAGCGCCATTTTCCGCTACACTGCGTTAGCCTAGTTGGAGGGGAAGCTTTGAAAAGTGCACGATCCTTGAAATAAACCTAGAAACCACTCGTTTTTTTCTGTCTGCTGCTGGATGTGGACGTAAAGCCATGATAGTTCTGAAGATTAGAGGAGATCTTCAGCACGTGACTTTTCCACAAAGTTCACTTCTTTGGGAGAACTTTTACGCATGGTCTCTTAGGAGGAAGGCCTTTCAGGAAATGCCCAGCTTTCTGGAAACGCGATTTTGCAGTAATATGGGGGTGGCGTGGAACACAGAACTGTAATTCATTTTTCCTGAGCGGCCCTCTGAATATCAAAAAAGGGGGTGATGAGGTGTGGTCCGTGGTTCGAATCCTCGCAGTGAATTTTTTCTATTTTGTGTTGATGTTTCAAAGTCGCAAAAACTAGCGTCAGCGTAAACAAACTTATAACTATCTATAATTAGGGCCATCCGCAACCTTACATAGACTTTGACTTGAAAACTGGTGAAAAAGTTAAGAACGGCAGTTCCTTAAGAAATTTTTCTTCGCTCCTTTTTTGGTATTCGGAGGGTCGCTCAGGAAAATGAAACCACAGTTCTGTGTTCCATGCAGTACCTCTATATCATGCAAAAAACCGTTTCGGAGAAGCTGGGCATTTCCTGGAAGACCTCCCTGGTGTTAGCATTCTACCAGCAACCGAACTCCTCACTTTGTGTTTCTTAGTGTGCATTAACCGTTGCATACCGCTTGTGTAGTTGTATCGAATGCTCCCGATCAGGATGATCTGGCCTTCATGGGACAGGATGCAACGACTCCAAGAAATAGGGTATCAAAGGAAGGCGATTACGAGTAAAAGGTAGCGCATCGGGGAAGCACATGCGCTACACAAGAAGGCACTTGGAAAGAAAAAAGAAAGCGAGCTGTGGCACTGTCATGACGTTCAAGTAGCGCTGGATGCTGCACAGTACTTGAAAATCACCCGCACCCTATTCCTTCCACTCACCATTTAGTTGGTGATTTGGGCAATGTGCTATGTTGCCAGCAGCGGCACAACTGGAGCAACTCGACTGGAGCATGGATTGGCATGGTGCCACCAAACGCGTTGCGGTAAACTCGTCCATACGTCCGCGTCTTAGCCGCTGCCCGCTCTTGTCAAAGATCGACGGTCAAACAAAAAGATCCTCTTTCCGCATTTCTTGACGGATTTCTCTGCTTTTTTAATGGTGTACCATTTCGCACCACCCCCACGTGCCCTGTAAACCCCTCTAAAACCTATCGTAATTGCTCTCTTTGAAGGGACCTATTGTCCACATAGCTGTTAAGCCACAAACTACTTTTCTTTCACTCTCGTATCGAGGAAGGACTCACCACTTATTGCGCTAAGGTCCATTCCTTATTCTTTTGTATACATGTGTGTGGTTATTGCAGATCAAATTTTTTAATGAGAAAATGTGTCAGCGCGCCTACGGGAATATCCAATAGAAATCAATGAATAAATGAACAGATACATGAATGTTCTTAGATGCTTTCCTTTGGGTGGTTCTCTTCAGCCTTTCGACGCATTAATAGCTGCTCCTTTAAAATCCACAATGATCCGAAGCCTTGTCGTTCCTCCAGCGCAGTGATAGCGTCCCGTAGCATTTCGAATAATGTCTCGTGTGTCCTTCGATTCTTCCTGAATAGGCAAATAAATGTATAAAACATTGGAATCGTAGATTGGCATTCGTGAATTCATCATACCTTCTTATGACCGCATACAGTAGTGGTACGTCGTCGCCGGTTCTGATGGTGAGCACTCCTTGTATGGTGTACAGCTGGCCTAACTTGTTGGTGGCATCAGGCTGCATATCATGCACGCCATCCCCCACCAACGCGTAAAGGACCTAAACTCACACGCCTTCTGAAAGACTATGTTCAGTAAGAATTGAAGAAATGATGAGAAAGACAGTGGAGTCGGCTATACAAGGTACCTCAATTGTTGGAATGGAGTAATACACTTGAACCTCCGGGGTGGAGTGCTGCAGAAATGCCGTTCCATCAGGTAGAACGGCATATTCCGGCGGGACGTGGTACATCGATACCCGCCTGTCGTGAAGTTTCGCAGTCGCTCTGAAATTGGATTCCATGGATTTCACTTTGTAGTATACTGAAAGTTTAAGCTACCGTGCCAGAATCAATCGAGGGTGGAAGCAGTACAGCATGTCGTTCCATCTTGGCTTCATCTAAATACCAAACTTGTGCAAATGCAACTGGCCGATTAATTGTGATTTACCTACACCCTCTTCATAATGCACCTGTTCTGCCATCTTCTGTCACAACTGCCATAGCTTTATTTTCGTTGCACTTTAACTTGTGCGTTCTTCAAGGGCCGGCACATATCCGGCAGAAGTAGTGGGTCCCCAACAAGCTCGCAGCCATTCATCACCTAAACTATTATTATCTCGCCTGCCTAACAACACACAAGTGTGGAGTTATCACTACCGCTACGCTAGCCCGTCTTTCTTGTATCCTATGCAGCGGTGAATTACTTGAGTTGTTCTCCTCAGAAGATCGAAAGTAGTGGGGGAACCTCTGAAAAAAAGAATGTAAGCACAAGCAAATGCTGCCGCTCCCATCTGTAATATGTCGTGAACACAGTCTCTTTCTTTTATAACTACTGGGGATGTTGCCATCAAAAAAATTCTCGTGGTCAGTCGAAGCGTTTTGCAACAAACATGTTAGCATCCTCACAATACTACTACATATATGGGACAATTGAACTAGTTTGGCTCTATATTTTCCCACTGAGTCGTCAAACACGCTCGTCACAATAGGTGCGCACCTTAAAAGCGGCAGAAAGTCCGGTAACAGCTTTCTAACCTTGGGCAGCGTGGAAGCGGTAGCCCCTGAAGATGGCTGTATTGGTGTGGTAAAGTGGTTCGTGCCGAAGACACGTTCAGTGATTGAACTGTCTTTTAGCATTGGAAAAAATAACTCAAAAAGGATAAAGGATAAAGCATTTGCCGTTGATCAATCCCTTTTTGGGATGCGGCACGCATTCTACTTCCATTTGTACATTCGTAGTGGCGTTTGAATGCGATGTGGCCTATACAATGACTTGCGGGGGCCAGCCGATGTACAAGTCAGTGTTTTTATCCTCCCAGACAAGTCTGGTACCAATTAACCGACCCCGGAGGGATGGTTGGCCCGGGCGACTCACGACCCAGGATTTGATCCCCGGACCGCTCGCGTGGTAAGCGTGCCACTTGCCACTACACCACTTCCGCCCTAAATAAATATGATTAAGAAAAAAAGATAGTTGAAAGGAAGCAATCGCGAGTGAGAAAGAAGGCCATCGCGAGTGATGATATCGAGAGAGATTACTCCCAACCCATTCCGCCCCGCTGCCCATAGGTGCTGATGTTTATTTTCCGTTAGCAATCCTATGATCCCCTATAGCAATCCTGCGTGACCCGTGTTCGCACATGTTCTAGGGTCAACAACGCAGAGTAGGTGAGCTCAATCGAGGACCTTTCCACTTCAGGTCAAAATGATCCACTAATCACATTACACTAATTGTGCTGTGCACGTAGATCTACACAGAGTGGAATCATAGCGAATGCAAATAAAAGAAGTAAAGGATGAAATGATTGGAAAGATTGGGGACGGCTGCACATAATTCTAGCCGCCTATCTCTGGGTTTATATAAAAAAAATCACACGATAACCCTCGTAGATACGCCAGAATTTGGATAATAAAAACAGATGTGAGTGCTGATTACTGAATCCACAGGTCCCTCGTTGCAAATCGCAATGTCAGTCCTCACCCTCATTGGGTTCGCCTCCTTACCACTGGGTAGGTAATCCTTTCTTCGACCTCCGCCCTTGTCATAGAACCCTCTTTTTACGAAACCAGCTTCACTTAGTTGGGTAAAGGCACTCTTTAATGCAAGTAGGAGTGCGGAGTGGAATTCCAGTCAAAACGGAAGGGAAACCATGGAAAACACAGAAATTATGATCTTTGTTCTACAGTGTGGAGCAGAGCACACTCGTTCAATAAAGTCAAACCTATCCCAAACTCAATTCGAACTGCTATTTCCAGGAGAATAATGGACGAGTTTTACCGACGTGAAGCACCGCTTTCTGCTCGATCTGATCTCTACGAAATGCGCTCGGTTCGGATTAGTTCACCGAGTTCAGTTGATATCGAAATGCAACCCGAGATGTTCTACAATGAGTTCACGCCCGTGTAAGTGGTTTTTTCTAATATTTTTTGTAAGCAGAATTGGCGCAGCGGGTGGAGGCGTCACAACGTTTTGTACGATCTGTAGGCTTCTGTCACGTTCTACCAACTGGTCAATCATTTTTTCCATACCACAAGAAACCTTTGC